TTGGTCGTTCATTTACATTCCACTCATTGTTTATCACAGTTAACACGGACTGCCTGGGAGGGATGAGTCACAGAGGCTATAAACTAGGGAGGCAGAGAGGCTGTGTCCCGCCGCTCTCACACAAGGCATGTAGTGTGATGACATAAACAGTGGATAGTGTTAAAAGTGATATTCTGTTTCTGTGTCGTGAATTATATAAAAGAAATGACTTGAAGTGTTTATATATATTGCATGAAGGTTGGTGAAAATAAACGAGTTTTCCTCGGCGTGAATATCAAGGTTATAAGAATATTTAGCTATTATTTGTTGTGCGTTTTCGAGCCATAACAAGACTTTAGCTCAGCTAGTTGTGAGTTTCAAGGTTATAAATAAGGCATTGGCTCAATTATTTTTATGTTTAAACGCTATATCCATACACTAACTCAAGCAATACTGTGTTTAACAAAAAATTATAAGTCATCGGATTCACTTTCTCTGTTGTTAAAAAAAGTTGAATTTGGACAATAGTTTAATTAACTGTGTTTGAAGACACGAGCTAGGCGTCGGATGAGTGATACAAGGCTGACTTACGTGTGGGAGTGACGTCAACCACAACAAGAATGCGCGTTATGTCACAGGGTAGACGACAGTCAGCTGGAGTAAGAGGGCCTGAGGGGACACGCGCCCAGCACCCACCACGACTTATAAATCACGAAACTAGGAGGATGTGCGCCATCTGTTCACTCATGCACAGCGCGCCACCTTGGGGAAGCTACGCACACTGGTTACTATAAGCCAAGCATGAGTCAGGGAGGTCATAAGCCAGCTCCTCGTTTGTTCGGCAGCCCAGGGGTCAAAGGTCACTGGTTATCGGGTGGTATCCGGCTCGGGGTCATGCCCGGCCGCGACCCACGCGCTAGGCATGTGGTGGACCTGTTGCTGCTGGCTGTTGTTGCTGCGGCTGCTGTTGAAGGTGCTGGGACTGTGGTTGAAGGTGCCTGGACTTTGATTGATGGTGCTGGGACTTTGTTTGGTGGTGCTGGGACAGTAGTTGACGGTGCTGGGACTTAGGTAGCTGGTGTGGACGGTGCTAGGAATGATTCTGAGGCCTCTGGTAACCGGGGTACTGCATCATATTACGCTTTTGTGTGTGTGATGATTTAACTCCTGCTACCAGTACTGAGGGAGTTGGTGGTGGTGGAGGACGAGAGGGAAGTGATGGTGGTAATAATGATGGAGAAGGAGGAAGTTTTTAAAGCTAAGTTTAACAAATTTATTGACAAAGCGTGGAGTACAGTTTGCCGAGTATTTCAGTCAGGTCTTGACACTGAGGGTGGCATCACTTCTCACTGCCATGCAGGCCAGAGGAGGAGGAAGAAGAAGAAGAGCTGGTGAGGGTTGTGGTGGTGGAGGAAGAGGAGGAGGAGGAGGAGAAGAAGGGAGGCATCTTAGTGTAGGGATGCGTCAGGATACAGGCTGCCCCGTGACCTCCGTTTGTCAGACACGCCCTTCACAAGGTCTCCGTCCACTCTGATTATGGACGCATCGTGACGGGCGAGAGGCGAGGTCCTTCCTCAACCCTAGTGGTGGTGATAGTAGTGTGTTGTGGTGATAGTAGTGTGTTGTGGTGATAGTGATGGTGGTGGTGATAGTAGTGTGTTGTGGTGGTGATAGTAGATGGGTGATAGTGATGGTGATAGTAGTGTGTTGGTGAGAGTGATGGTGGTGGTTGTGAGCAAGGAAAGGCAGACAAGGATGGAGGTAGGGAGGGAGGTAGAGATGGAGGTAGGGAGGGAGGTAGAGGTGGAGGTAGGGAGGGAGAGGGGGAGGTAGGAGGGAGGTAGAGATGGAGGTAGGAGGAGGTAGAGATGGAGGTAGGGAGGGAGGGAGACAGAGGTGATGGATGGTGTGTTATCCACCACTAAGGGTCACGGGACATCCGGGGTCGAGGCAGCCATCTGGTCACGCTGCCTCCCACCTGCACCATCATCCTAACCCTACCTCTCTCTCTACCGATATGAGGTATTTACAAAACGACAATAAAGAGGTGTTAGATATAAGACTTACACACACACACACACACACACACACACACACACACACACACACACACACACACACACACACACACACACACACACACACACACACACACACACACACACACCGTTCGAGTGAGTTCCTATGTGGTTAATTTCACTGAGTACCCGACAATTTCTCAGCCTAGTGAGAAAAGTTAAGTGGTCAGAAATTTACTTGGCTGGGTGGAGTTGGGGTAAAAACACCTCATGCTTGAGTGGTTTAACTCTCATAGCACGTGAGTACCGCTGAGGTCAGAGGGAGAGGAGGAGGAGGAGGGAGAGGAGATTGAGGAGTGGGAGGAGAGGGGGAAGAAGATAGAGGAGAAAGGGGAGGAGGGAGGAGGTGAAGTATTTACAAAATTCATCAGCAACATGTATGAATCACCTTTCCTTCCTTCCTTCCTTCCTTCCTTCCTTCCCATGGACATTCAATGGTATTCAGATCCTTTACGTTATGTTTGGTAGGTTAGGTTATAGGGTCTACCAGCACCATCCTCACCACTCCAGCACCATTATCACCTCTTCAGCACCATCATCACCACTCTAACACCATTATCACCTCTTTAGCACCATCATCACCCTTCCAACACCACCATCACCACTCCAACACCACTGTCACTACTCCAACACCATCTACACCACTCCAACACCATCTACACCACTCCAACACCACTGTCACTACTCCAACACCATCTACACCACTCCAACACCACTGTCACTACTCCAACACCATCTACACCACTCCAACACCACTGTCACTACTCCAACATCACTATCACGACACCAGCAACATCACTCCACCACTATCACCACTCCAGCACCATTATGCCCCACTGTTAACGGCATCATCCCCACTCCAACACAGATGATGGGAACATGACTGTCAGTACATCCGTCTTGTTCCAGTAAGTGTGTGTGTGTGTGTGTGTGTGTGTGTGTGTGTGTGTGTGTGTGTGTGAGTTTCCTCCCTCACACCTCACTTACCTCTCTACAGTTACTACCATGCTCACCTCTCTCTCTCTGTGCAGTATGTTGATTGTGATAAACTGCACACACACACACACACACACACTTACATAACACTCCGGAAACAGTATATAAGTAGCCTCGTTTGTCTTCCAGGGTGTCGGCGTGTACCCACCACCTAATAGTATATCAACACTCACAAAACGTCGAGGAAGCTAAAATGTGGTAATCTTGGTGTTCTTCTCTTTGTTATCTTAAGTCATTATAGCTGTACCGTGTATCACCCAGAAGAATGTCTTATTACGCACAATGTTGTAACAAGTCAGTGTTTTTAGTTGTGTGTTGTGTCGTCGACTAACCAGGAACTGTCGTCATATAAGGTCTGGCTTAATGTTCTTTTACTAAACGACGCACCATAGATCAAGTCTGAGTCAGTGTCAGGTCATAATCTTAACATCAGGTTCTTCAATTATATGAGAAGAACGCCTTTCGGCTCTCATGAAAATATATGCCGGCGGTACCACTAACAACAGACATGTGGTAGTTGCCTCAGGTGTCGTTAATGGTAAAAGTACACAGAGAACGTGAACCCCAGCTGGTGTGGTCGTTCATCTTCACTCTCCATGTAAGACGGGCGTCTTCGCGAAACCCAAACATCCCCTTTGGTACACTGGCGTGACTCATGGTGGGCTGAGCCATCCCCCGGTCAGCCCGGCTTACCTCCCACACAATACACCTTTGATTATACCCTCGCACCTCCCCTCACTACACAACCACAAATTTCGTCGCAATATTATGTATAGATCAGCCGTTTCCTGCTACGCGGCCTCGGAAGACTGCGTTGTGTTAGCACGTCTTTGTCGACTGATCAGGAGTCCTATTGTCCAGTTTTCGCGGAAGCTTCTTGTTGTGGTTGTAGGCGGCGAGGTCCGGCCAGCGCCCGGCTCCACCACCAACGCTCACCTGTTTCATTCTGTCACCTTTAATTCTTATCTTGTATTGCCTTGACGGTTTTAATTTTAAAATTCTTCATTGTAAACAAGTCTTCCGCTCTTAAAAGTTGTAATCTCTAATCTGCATGCATGTATTCCGAGATAAGACTGATGAAAGGAATATTCTGCTTCATTTATAAGAGGCTGCCTTGTACTGAGGCGTTTCTAAATTCATGGAAGAGAAGTTTTCACTTACAAAGATGTATTCAAACACTGTTGACCTTGATGCAACGAAATTACGCCTGGCAGAGACCCCGCAGGGTACGTTCCTTTACACGGAAACTTCCAGTCATTCACAAACCTCACCTCCGACATTATATGCGTGACGAGAAACTTATTAAGCCATTCCGTATATTAAAGTATCGCTTAACGTAATTAGCACACATAAAAGAAACAAGTTTAGGTACTTGCAGAGCATCGCCCTAGGAGACGGCGGCTGCCTCACCTTCCACCATCCGAGGCAAGAACTCTGATATCCAGAACTTATTTATATATTCTGGAGTATCAACGATCATAATAACTGATCTCGCTACAGAGACAACACCGGAAAGACTGGCTTACAAAAGAGGCGGGGAGGGGAAGGGGTTAAGGTGAACAAATTAACAACACAGTACTTACAATGTAAGTTGGAGAAAAACTTGTGTATCCATTAACAAAGACAAACACGCAGCATATAGACCACAGACAAGTGTTGTTCCCTCAGCGTGTATAGGTTGTGTGGCACAGGTAAATTGATCTACAAAGCAGGATGTGCGATGTAATTGTTAAACGCATCGAGGCAGCAACACCTGGATACACTGGGGTTTGCTTTCACACTGATTACTAAGAACTTAAAGTTAACGAATGCAAATAAGCACAGCAAATAAAGTATTGTGATATAACGCGAGGGTCATTACTGAAGAAGGGTGAGGGGGTGAGTGTAGCCTTAATAGATGATTTTCCTGCTAGAATCTAGGAACATAACACAAGGTAGGATACTCACAGCCAACTGGAAGGTGAGGGCGGCCACCACCAACGTCGCCGCCACCATCGAGTCTGAAATGACAACAAAAACAAGAGATGAGTGCCAGCAACCTTGAGGCTGATTGACTTGACGTGCTCATCTATGTGTTGAGTGTCATTCATATCAGGGTAATATACGTTTTAGTGTTACGTCAAACTGAATAACTGGATTGACTGCCGGACCTGTGGTGAAACCTGAAGTAATGTATTAAGATATTTCAGACTACACAGAAACAGTTGTATTAAAAATGTGATACTAAGCAGATAAAGGTGTGCCGCTCTCGTGTGATTTTTGAGAACGAGAGCAGCGTAAAAATGTGGAGAATGTGGGACGCTCGTGACCGCTGACGGCCCCGAGATCCCCCAGCCTCGGGGTCAACTCAGCCTGTAGTACTTTTCTTCTTCTCTGGAGGATAAGAGAGAATGTGTAAGATTCTCTTCTCAGATCTCGTATAAATAAACGCTGTTCATAAAAGGATAATTACAAGTGTGCTTTTATGTACACAAAAGCTGCTTATCTTAGTCCAGCATACATTATGAGGTTGTTTGACAGCTTGTTTCCTCGTACATCCTGGGTACACAAGGCCCGTTTAGCTTCCCGCTGTAGCCACCAGGGAGACACACCACGTGAACTACACTATTCCCTCCTGCGGGTGACAGTAACGTGAGGGGAGCTGACAATGGTGTTCACATGGAAACGTCCTGCACAGCGACCTGCAAGGAATGTAGTGGGTGAGGCAGACCAAGAGCAGACCTCTAGCCAGGGTCAAGCACTCCTGCACTACCGCCCCACACACTCATCTCCCTTTATGTTTGGCCTTTCCTTATGAATGTCATCTCCAAGTCAACGCGGGGCGCTCTTTCTATTTTCTCCTCATGCAACACAATACACTAACACTCGGCCGAAGAAAACTTATACACACCGAATTAAAGGAACATGAAGAAGTGTTTTTATAAAAATTATCATACAGTTCCTTCACAGGACCACCAATATCCTGTCTGCACCGGAGGATGACCAGGCAGTTATGTAACCACAAGAGAAGTTCAGGACACTCTTGGGGACGGCGAGTATTGACCACACACTCTTGACTAACAACCTGCAGCGTTTTAAAGATCTAAATTTTGTTTATTACTTATTGAGTGTGAGATAACCTCATGCTTAGTGACGCCTCACCTGAGTGTAATAAAGTTTGCAGTAATGGTTTATGTAAGAGGTCTTGACAGATTACCAGAGCAGCACCCCCGCCCACCATGCCTGGGTGTGTCGTGCCACCACCACACTCCTTCGCTGCCTCACTCCATACATGGAACAAAGGTCACTGAGACGTAGGACCTTCCTCGTATCCTCCTGACATTGATATATCTGGAGTAGACACAAGAGAGAGAGAGAGAGAGAGAGAGAGAGAGAGAGAGAGAGAGAGAGAGAGAGAGAGGAGCAGGCAAACAGATTTTAAGAGGACGGAAGACAAACAGAACTGCAACATTAACAGATGAGTGAGTGCCCTACCTGGTGTCCTTCACTCAGTAATTACGTCTTGCTGTACGTCATCGTGCGAGCAACCGGGAGAAATTTCCTCTCCATTCACTGTAAAAATTATCCGGTGAATCTGATGTGATCGCCAGAAGTAAAGAGAAAAGGAATATAAAGAATAAAGTTTGTTACCCTAAGTAATGTTACGACAACGATGGGTCGGGTGGAGGCTTATAGACCTTTTATTTATCCCAGATATAAAACCAAATAAACTGTATATAATGCGGAAGTGAGTGATGCAACATGTAGTAATGACAGAGACCTCCTCAAGGTGTGAGGCGCCACGCTCTACAGAAGATTAAATGTGTGGCGTACAGCAGCCCCTCACACTTCACCCCCTGGCCCCTCCTCCACTCCGTCCTGGATACGGTAGGTGGTAGGGAGGGAGAGGGAGGAAACACATGTGAGACAGAGTCACGTGACCAAGGTCGGGGGTTCCCCACACCCGAGGCACCACACCATGGCCGCTGCTTGTGTCGACCACACATACCAGGCCCACTGGCTCAGCCTTCCTCACACACGCTGGTGTTGAGACAAAAGGGAGCATTGACAGTTTTCATATCTGTAGGTTACAAACGATAATATATGCACACTTACAGACATACAGAGAGACAGATCTACACACCCATACACCTGGTACGTATGGACCCTCCCAGCAGGCGTCGGTGGCTGTGATCGGTCACCTTATTGTGGAGGCTGACAGGCTCGCTCCCCAGCAAGAGGTAAACTGCCCGCCCCCTGGCATGACACTCACTCCTCTCACCTGCACTATGGACATGTACAGTATATACAAAACACACAAGCGTACACATGCTTACGGGAAACCACACACGCTTACATAACATTCACGTATTCACAGACAGATATGCAGTATAAAAACACTTAGAGGTACAGAGATCCTAAACACGTGCTCACACACACACACACACACACACACACAAGTGCACTTCAGCAACATCAGTAAAGTCATTGTAAAGTTTGTTTCTGGTTATCTCACCGCGAGACAACCAGGTCTTAATGAGCCAGTTACCTGCTGATCATAACCTCTCCAGCTCAGAATTATTTCCTGATCAGGGTATACAATCGAGGACAGGTTTACCAAGTTCACCAACCCTTCTTTTACTTTCTCCCCGTCCCCCCACCCGGCCGAGGGGGAGTATTGTAACTAGTTTCTCTGAGCGTCATCAAAAAAGTTTATGTAATCATCAGGTGAGTCTACCTGTCTGTACTTCCTTCTCAGCCATCACACAGACTGTGCTGCATCCTCCTCATGTGATTGTTCTTATAATGGATCGTTCTGCCTTGTCTAAAAGCTATAGAATTATTCCTAGCACGAATGTACCCTACCAGTGACGGTCATAATTAAGGTACACGTAGCTCCTGTCCGCCATATTGGAGACTGTGAATTCAGAGTATAGTCGGGTTGTGATTTGGTTTGAAATGTTAATGTATTCTACTGTGTGTTCTTCTCCGTGACCCAAATATTTTAGCATCATTTCATTATTTCAATTCGTTAAGCGGAAAGTCACAATAGTTTTACCTGACGAAAACCTCCCTGACCGCTGTGGTGTTGCTCACTAACCTAACCTAACCTAACCTAACGCAACCCAACCTAACCTAACCGAACATAACCCAACTTAACCTAACCTAACCTAACCCAACCTAATCTAACCTAACCTGACCTAACCTAACCTAACCGAACATAACCCAACTTAACCTAACCTAACCTGACCTCTGTGGTGTTGCTCACTAACCAGAGAATAATGTTAACCAGCGGGTCCCTGGCCTAGTGGTGACTCACCTAGTGTTTCTCTGTATTCAAAGGTTAAATAAAACGAAGAGAAGGATTAAGTTTAAGGGTACAGCAACATGACTATGGGGAGCCTTAATGTGTCCCACGGGAAGTGACTGCGGCGACAGACGAGGGAAACATCCTTCTTTTGTTATTGAACCTAATTATTGGACAAAGGTGTTTCGCTGTTATATCACTCCACCTATCACATTCCGCGCCCCCAACTATATATAGTATATAAGAAGTTCTTCAATATGGCGGACCGTATGCTTAATGATGTCACGTGAAGATGGTCAATACCCCATCACCTTAAAGAAAAACTCCCTCATTGGCGTCCTACTGGACCTCACGCCGCCGAGTGGCCTTTGATCCTCACATTATTACAGCTGAATATTGTCATATTTTAGATACTCTTAATGTGAACTTTATTAATTTTATCAGATCATCACAATCGTATAAGAATGGAAAGTTTTATTATTGCAGTTCTCTTCACAAATAAATAAATAAATAAATAAATAAATAAATAAATAAATATATATATATATATATATATATATATATATATATATATATATATATATATATATATATATATATATATATATATATATATATATATATATATATATTTAATGTCAGTATGAAAAACACCAACAATAAAACTACAAGTTGTCATGATCTCATCCACTCCAGCAGGAGTCACGACCAGGTAAGGCAGGTGAGAGAGCGGGACCTGGCTGGCCTGGCACCCGGAAACCCAGGCGTGATGGCAGCACTGTGTGTCACGCACTAGTCACGTTCTCCCCCGCTGCCTCCATCATTATATCACAGCTATTCTCAGTTGCACTGGAGCGACGCACACATATTATGAAGGCTGAAGACGAACTCAGCTGGGATCAAACACCTTCCCATAATGCAGCATCGAAGGGACAGTAAAAAAGAGACTGGGTGCCTGGGTATAGTTCTGTGGTCACCCAGATGTAGAAGAAGTGTGGGGAGTCGGGTGAAGTGCTATCACACCTGGCCGCCGCCTCCCGGATCTTGTCGACGAAGGGGCATGCGGCCGGAATATTTAGTCGATGCTATGTGGCGCCTCCGGCCTTAGCAAGTGTCGACGCGTGTGTGGGGCTGCCCCTTCCCTAGAACATAGTGTAACCCTGGCACATGGATGAGGGTGTGTCCCTTCCCTATTAAATGGTGCAACTCGAGCCCACAGTTACCCACTCTCGGGAAACAATGTTTCCTAGTCTATATCTGTGGGTCTACCTTATCATTGGAACACTAATTAACCCTGGCCTACCGTTGTAAAGCTACCCACTTCTGAAAAATTATGAGCAGAGAAAATGAGGAGTGAAATGTTGCTTGGTGGTAGCTTACTTGAGGTAAGTTTAGAACATCGGAGTGAAGTAATGTACTGTACATCTTAATGCTGAGGTAAAGGACGAGTAGGATCGTTTTGTTTACATTTTCATCGGAATTTCATTTCTATACAGCAACCAACTTTGTTTTATTATTTTTCATTCTTGTTATCATCCAAACACAACAATTACTTTTCTATCTCCGTCTAGGGTCTAGTTTTATGTTTATCCATCTTTTTATATTTGTCAAATTCCATTTAGTTTTGTGTCGACTCACTTAAGATTTAGGCCAACTCACTTGTCATCCTAGTGTACCGTCTTCAGCAGATTAAGAATGTTACAATGTTTACAT